GTCCCTTTCTTCTCTTCTGAATCATGAATATTCCAATGGGGCTCCCTCAGATTGAAATCCCATATCTTGTCGCAAATATTCAGATTTAGTTCTGTGTCTCTCACTTTAGTGGTTCTATACGAAGGCCACCCATTAACTTAACTGAGTTTTGAAAATCTGGAAGTTCATTTGGAATTTGAAAAGTACGTTTTTGATACCAAAAAAAGATGCAACACCCTTAGAGTCCTTAATTCGATATAGTGAATAGATACACCTTTTTTAATTATCGCGCTTGTGAATGCTAATAAACCAAAACGTATAACAAGGTGGAGGCGACGATTTAAGACCCGTAAGAGTGACTTTTTGTTCTTGTGAATTATAAATTTCGTGGCAACCGTAATATTTTTTTTCAATACTCCTCACCAATAATGTTACAGTAGCTACCACTTTCCCCAAATGTACTAGGTGAAAAAATATGCTAACAGAAATAAGGGTTCTTTAACCTACAGATATGCACATGGAGTGATTAGCAACCAGGCTAATTATGTCGAGGGACGCAATGCGCTTGAATATTTTCTGAATGCTCACAAGAAGAGCCCAAGCCGTTAGTTCTTCAAATTGTAACGCTTCCAGGAGGCCGACCTGGCTCTTTCCGTGACAACCCGACGAGCGAAAAAAAGGACGTTGCCGTGGCAACAGAAACTATAGTGCCCATTGAACTGGTCATCATGGCTGGGCGTCTGTCTCGTCATCAGAGCAACATTTTTGGACTTATACAAATATTTCCATGGCAAGTAAGTACCAAGGACACGTACTATCTGGACATAGATAAAATACCACTGAGTGAACGTAAAATGCAACAGAGTAATTGCAGCATTTCGGAATGTCATGTCTATGTTAGTAAACCCGTTGGTAAACTTGAGAAAAATAAACGTTGGTGACAACCAAAGTTATTCTTGTAAAACGAACTAAAAAAGATCCGCGCTCGCACGTAGAAGGAAAGCATAAACTTTGACCAAATTCCAAATTCATTGGTGGATTTTACCTTGTGAAATTTCAAGGTGTAGCTCCTTTCCTGTAAAGAAATGAAAACAACAAACTTTCCATGGTCAATGGCGGATGTGTTCGCAGACCACCCAGATATCGATTGCCGTGACTTCCTGTGCACCCTCTCGATAGGTGCAGCGAGCAGACGACGCACCCTTTGGTTTGTTCGCATAACCCCGCCATCGCTAGCTCCATCGTCTGCGAGCGCGTCCGACTGTAACCGTGGCAAGACGAATGACCTAAATGTTTAGAGAAACAGAGCTACGCCTCGAAAGTTTACAAAGTAAAACCCACCACTCAAATTTACATTTGGTGAAAGTTTGAGCTTGCTATGTGTAGGCGACGATTTTCCCCGTTCGTCATACTGCGCTAGGATCCACAGTGGCCTCCGTGTATAAAATGGGTAAAGGTGAAAAAAAGCGTAGAATGGTCTTAACATTCAAGTGACAGATTAAAAGAAGCGCGGTCATAAATCTCTTTAAAAATTAATTATTATTGGAACTATTGAAACAAATAAAAGCAAGCAGCGGGGAGAATTGTCTTGAATTATTGTTTGTCCTGTATTATGCGCAATATCTCAGAAATATTTCAGGCGGCTGCTTATAATGTCTTTTTTTTGGGGGGTCCAGAAACAAGACAATCTTTTTTTCACTTTTGACGTTCAATAAGTGCAAGTTATTTTCTTTTATTTATATTTTCAGTTACTGAAACCATTGCAGCTCCTTCTATTTCGTGTCTATCGTCTTAGGTACCTATTTCTCTAGAATTGCCAATCACTGAATATATATTTTAAGCTTGTTAGTATTAGGTCGTGATTAGCCCATTGTACTCTCTGGTGGATGTGCTACTCTTGCTAATGTCTGGTATGTTGTTTAATGGAAGATAGGAATGACAACGATCACTCACATTACAAATAAATAAAACATCAGACGGGTTAACCGCCCTCTTTTAAATTGAAACCGTACCTCACAGAACGTGTTGTTTTGTGAGGTGTGGTTTACGAAAATTTCCAATCCTCATTTTTTATGTAATGATTTAAACCCTCACTGGAGCACACGATTCACGGTGAGCCGTTGTGCCTCCGAATGCAAAAGGGCAAGATTACCCCACCTTCGAGAGCGGCACGAGGATAGGCTAACGCCACTCCACCGAAAAGCACGTGCTCTCACCCTCTCACCGCACACGTTCGACGTGGAGCACAGCACAGCTATATGTATTCTTCAAAAAAGGAGCGACGCAAGATGGCTTCGAATGATAGAAATACCAACAAATACGCAGCTGGTCGCATATGTTTATGCTTAAGCATTACGCCGGCCGCCGCCGGATATCTTAAAATATGCAAAATCTCAAAAGTGTTTCTAAAATGAAATAAAACAAAAAAAAAAGGTAAAGACTGCAAACTGACAGTGCTGAGTAAATTTATTATCATGATCAAGGCAAATGTCAAACCCATCACACGCAATGTTTAACCGATCTCAGCTCGGGTTTGTACCAAGCGGCACGAAACGTTCGTGGGTTCGGAAGAACACACGAACAGAAAACAAGTTGATATGCTCGTAAAAACAGCTGTAATTATCAGAACGTACGTGACACTCCTTTCTCGCTTAGGCCTTAACGCTCGAAGTACGACATAACAAAATGAGGAGCGAGAGAAAATACTTTTTGTGGATTTTCGCAATTGATGTCGCCTGGTGAATGCCGTCCCGTAGTGATTCTTGAACTGCGCTTACGGCTGCACTCTCTTGAAGCAATACCCTACCACACGCGAAGTGATATAAACAATAAAAATTGCCCATAATTACCAAAGTGTGCATCCCGTCCTTGCCAGTGTCACCGGGAGTAGCGTCTTGAGCTACAAGCTGTGTTCCGGCCGAATCTCGTTGATTTCGACGGAGCAGGTTTTCTCGGAATCCAAGGAGGACCTGAAGCCAGCGCTGCTCTAAAACGACGAACTGAAGTCAAACGTGCTGACTTCACCCGCCCATCGGCAGACGCGCGCTCCCCAAATGTAGATCCTAGAGCGCGCCAAAACGACGATTGGAGATTGCCATTAGTGACTTCAGACTGACTGTAGACCTTTACTAACATTTCTCTAGCGGGTATTGTGCGTGGCCTAGCTCCCCTCTGTCTCGTTAGTAAGACTTTCTGAAAACGCCATTTAGAAAACCCAATCAAATAACCGTCTTTGAGTGGTTGTTATAAAGCAGCTGGGCGTTGTTAGTGCAGCGCCTTTGCTGAAACCTGAAGGCAGTTCCGCATCCTTCTTTGAAACCTCCTTTCAATGTCGCCTTAGGTATGGACCTGCTTCATTTGTGGCATGATATTATCAGCCGTCACATGGGCACTCAGTGACATTGTCCACTCATGGAAACAACCAAGGCATTATTTAAGCTGTTTGTCGACGCTCTTCGATCACCTGTGGACGTTCATTGAAAACACCTGTACAGAAGGTACGAGAGCCGCTTTTTTTACAAATTCTATAAACCAACGTTGTTTTCCTTGTATTGATAAAATAGGTCATTACATCACATTCCGAAGTGCACCAACGTATTAATGCGCGTCCATCTTGGCCAAGTAGGAAGTTCTAACGGGGGAGTTAACGGTCGGTCAGACCGATTCGCTTAATTTGTTAGAGCTTTAAACTTCGAGTTCAATTTCTTTATAGTGCGGCTAGGCACTGATCAATTACCTTTAGCTTTAGGTTAGATCTACCGTGTTTCTATTAAAGTGCCGTTGGTAGTGGTGTTGAGATTGCGCCCGTGGCTAAAATCAATTGTTAGGTAAAATGATATTTGCTTTCCGCCGTTAATAAAGAATCAAATTTAGGGTCTGAAGACATTGCACAATAAAATCAAACGTCATTCCCTCCATAATAAGGTAGGTAAGTGACAACTTGATTTCAATCATGTAGTGTATTGCCAAAAAAGAAGCGCATGGTGATAACTCATGTTCTTGGCAAAAACAATATTTTTCTTTTAGTACTCACGTTTTGGCTTCCCAATGTACTGGAGTAAAGAATCGGGTACAAAGCAGAGGCGTCGTATAATGAGTAAAATCCATTCAGAATAATCAAGAACGATACTCGCGAGAGAAGGAACCGAGGCTTATAACTATTACAGTACTTTGTTTCTCCTTAAGTTTTAACGTAGCCGACGCTACGAACTGGTGAGACAGATCTGACAGCGTCAAATAGAGCACCATGAGGAGGTTCGTCATTTTTCTGTACCTGTTCAATTATCGCTCAAGCCATCATAAAAATAAGTGACCTATTGACTTGCGCTTTCGACGCTGCATAATTCGTCGCATACTTCGTAGCGTCGTCTAACGAAACATATTGTAATTTATCGTATACAAACTTAGGAGCATAAGTTTGTTTTAATTTATTATGAGACGAGCGTCAAATCGGTAAGAAGAAAGAGCTGTAATTTATCACAGCAATCTAGAAATTGTCATGGGTTAAAGGGGGGGGGGGGTGACACTCAGCTTGAACCTGCAGATGATTCAAATGGTAGCGTGACAAAACATTGAAGTAAAACAAAATAAAAAGCCCTCAGCGTCAAGGCAGCACCCCCATGAAACCGCAAGCCTTTAACACGTACACAGAATATTCGGACCTTTTCTTCGGCGTACTGGTAAAAGTATTGGTCTTATCTAGCTTTGACAAGCCTCCATGTCCTTCTTGCTAGCATTCCGCAGAGGGGAGGAAAAGTGCAATCCCCCGACGATTGAAATTTCATCCAAACGGAGCACAGGTGTTCGATGTCACTGCTTGTAATACGGAAGTACGCTAGTCGTTGATTACACGTAAATCATGTGAACGTGGTCTTAAAATTGTGTAGGACATACGGAAGTACGCTAGTCGTCAATTACACGTAGCTCAAGTGAATGAGATCTTAGAATTTTGCAGGACTCACTGATTATTGTAAGCTGTGACCAAAATATAAGAACCGTCCTGCATTCAACTAAAGCTAGTCATGTTGAAGTTCCTGTTTGTGCGACTGCGCTTCTTGTTCTTGTTCTGTAACTGCTCGGTTATGATGCCGTGCTCTGTCTTTTTCCCCATATTTACTGGTTCGTTGGCTATCTTGACTCTCGGCTGATTGGACCACGCCGCTCCAACGCGTACTGTACACCACACACTTTGTTTTATTTAATTTAGTCAACGATAAATATTTTCTTGAGCGCCAGCCATGTATCGACTTAACAGATGTTTTTAACTGATATCCCTTTCGGTTACTTTTCTTCGTTCGTTTTCAGCGTCTCCTTCCACCCCAAACCGCGATTCAGCACGGATCGTCGTAGCCTCGTTCTGGCTGGTTGTGATTATCCTTACGACAGGCTTCGCGGGTCAGATGAAGGCCATGATGATGGTCAAAAACGAGGCCGACCGCATCGACAGCATCAGAGACCTGTCCCTCAGGCCCTGGATCAAGCCATACGTTCCGGCCGGAAGCGCCGTCGTGTCCTCAATACGCGTGAGAGAATCCTTAGTTCTGAATGTAATTTATAGTAATGTCAACAGTTTCTTTTACAGCGAAACTGAGGAACTATAGTTTATTGTCTGATTATTTTTGGTACTTGCCTTGTGAAAACAAGAACGCTTGAAAATATTCGAATTCAACTGTAAAATTAATACGTTCAAATAGTGGTTGTTGTTAATACAAGTAAAGAACGGAATCGTCTACCTAACAATATTGTTTTAGTAGTACCGAATAACTTTTTTATAAAGGTTGTTAAACGACCGTGATTCATGCTTGCTTTCCTATGTTATCGAATATTGTGATGTTTGCCTTTCTTTGAGTGTCAAGATTATTAACGCCGATGCCTTGGTACGTTGCAGCAGAATGTAAATCCAGAAAAAAAAATATAAATTATTTCGACGACTTTTTTTTTATAATGGCCTTACAATACTGATGAATTCCCCAAATCATTTTTTTTTCATCTTTTTTTATTGTACCCTTATGGTCCGAATGCATTACAGAAGGGAAGAAGAACAAAAACAGGTTAAGCCAACAACAAAATATAAATTTGGCACACTCACTAATAGGAAGGTTATATCTATACAAGCATATTAGCCACTCTCGTCAGCAAAATGATTGGTGATGGTACATTTGAAAAGTTCAGTGTCCGTGATGACAGTTATCGATCCGGGAAGGGGGTTCCACTCCTGGAATGCACGAGGAACGAAATTTGAATAAAACGCTCTTGTGAGAGAACTTAGGTTGACCACTTTATACTAATGATCCAGACGAGAGGAATCATAAAATGGACGAGAGATTTGTGGGTCGCGTGGTATAGAATTATGGTTATTCATTTTATGAAACAAGGTCAAGAAACGTTTGGACGAATGAATAAAGGTGTCAATAAAAGATCATTTTTATAGAGGTGGCACTGGATGTGTGGTGGTCGTTGCTTAGGATAAAACGAGCAGACCTCTTGGGAATTGATTTTAATGTAGATGAAAGAGTTGCTTGGTCGGGATCCCAGATAAAAACTGCCTATTTTAACTTGGGCCGAATTAAAGTTTTGTGAATACTTTTCTTATGTGAAACATTGGTTAATGAAAAATTGCATTTGATTTAGCCTAACATATAGCCAAGAAGAAATATGATGAATATGAGTTGTACGCCACAGGTTAGAAGTTATATGTAGGCCCTAAACACTAATTTCATTATACTGGCTTTAACTGGGCATTACTTAGCAGGTTGTTAGGATAGTCATGCGATTGGCGAGACGCCCGCATGGCCTTGCATTTCTTAGTGTTAAGACTCATATGCCATGCATTTGTTAGTGTTAAAACTCATAGACCATGCATTGGTAGATAGTGTTAACGGCTGATTGGAGATTCGAAGTACCATTATACTCTAGAAGTTTTCAATAAATCAGGCGGTCATCAGCGAACAAAGAAATTGATGAGGAACGATTAATCGGAAAGTCATTAATATATAGTAAAATTAGTAGGGGCCCTAAGACTGATCCTTGTGAAACACTGTGAGTAACAGTGAGAGTTGAGGAGTTACTATTATTTACAACAATTGATTGTCACCTTTGAATTTGGAAACATTTAACCCACGCAAGAGCGTTAGCGTCTATGTTAAGTTTGGAAAGTTTTAGTAGCAAAAGCTTGTGAGAGGCTTCATCAGAGGCCTGTAGGAAATCCAGAAAAATACGGTACGCCTGCGATCTTAGGTCTAGAATCCTATGAAGATCATGAGTGAATGATAAAAGCTGCGTCTCACATGAAAATGTTTTTTTTTTTTTGAAAATCATGTTGGGAAATGCTGAAAAAGTCGTTGATTCTTAAAAGTTAACAAGGTTTAACATGTCCTATTAACAAATAGGACATGTTCTAGAAGTTTATAGGGAACACTGGTTATAGAAGTCGGACGATAATTGGGAGAGGAATGTTTGTCACCAGCCTTGTGAATGGGTACCACCCTTCCTATCTTCCAGTCCAATGGGAGAACAGTTGGTTGAATAGATTGCTCAAACACTTTTGTTAGTATAACAGAAGAGTAATGTTCAGTATTTCTCAAAACCTTTGAATTAATTATGTTATTTAATGCAATTCTCGGTCCGAAATAACGCGTACACGGCAACGGGCTTTTCATCGCGTAACAATTCTAAAATAGCGTTTCCTTTGCTTTATATTACGACAATGAAAACAAGTTTTCGACAGCAGTTCGACCCTACGTTTCTGAAGTGTGCTAGCCGAAAACATACATACTCAACACGATTTCTCAAGCAGTTTTCTGCCTTTTTAAACAGGATTCCAGGGATACATACTACCAGAAAGTGTGGCGCATGGTAGAAAAGCACAAGGGAAGCCAGCCACCCGCCGTCGTGCTGTCGGAGGCCTCGATGCGCGAAGTCGGTCTCGGCAAAGCTGTGGTCATCATCAGTCGAGCAGCTTCGGCCTCGCGGGCCACGATTGCATGCGCCAATTCTACGATAGGAGAGTACTACGTGGGAGAGGAGTCCACCTTCAATTTCAACTCTGTGTTCTACCTGAACAAAAGGATGCCACTGGAGAGGCAACAAGCCATCAATAGTAGGTAAGTCTGGTTGTGGTATAGCTCGGGACTATTTGTAAAGAAGGTTGCATCGACGTGGGAGGGGGGAGGAGGGGGGAGTGGGGGGGGGGGGGGGGGGAGGGCTCGTGCAGAAATATAAATATTGAAACCTTGAATTACAACTATTAGAATCCGTCGTGAGGCATATTTGGTGTTTTCGAATTTTGTTTTTCTTATACTTCATTTGGATGTTTTTTTCCTCCGAAAACGGATATACGTCATTTCCTTTTGTAATACACCGGTTCAGAATCGCAGCACGCGAAGTCTGATAGCCGCTGTAGATAAAAGGACTGGTGTGAAAAAAAAAAAAAATCTCCAAGTTGATTTTTTTTTAATGCGTTAGAATTAGAACGGACGTTTTGACGAAGTCCAGGCGGTGTCTGTCAGTTTTTCAGCACCGGGGAGAAAGTGAGAAGGAGGGAGAAAGAGTGACGCATGCAACGCTCCTATTGGTTCAATGCGCTGACGTCGCCGCGCGTTACCCTCTCCTTCTTCCTCTCCCCATGTCCCAGGAGCCGACAAACGGACAGACGCGCCGCAGGGTTTTCTTCAAAACGAGCGTTTTCGCCTTCGCTTTCGTCAAAGCAGCGTCCCACAGCTGGCGCGAAGGCAGAGAGGAGGAGGCGCTGCGGCGCGGTAAAATGAAAGCGTGCTCAGTGCCCCTCTGAGGCCGCCGGATGTTCTTCGCTCTGGGTTTCCGACATAGCGGTGGGTGGGCTGTGATGTGTGTGTAGTTAAAACGATGGATGCGGTTCATTCCACGAGTGATATAGATGTGGTTCCTTTCACGAGTGGTATAAATTTGGTTCTTTACACGCGTGATATGTATTACGGTATCAAGGCCGTCGACGTACTCTGACAAAGTGCAAAAAAGCGGTGAAAAAAATTAACGTGATACCCATCGGTGGAATTCTTAGGGAATGCGTTAGCACATGACCTTTGGGAAAAACCACACACGTCTCCCTTTGGTTAACGTTAACATTAACCCTATATCGAGGCCAAAAATTGGCAGCAAAAATAGAGGAAGCAAAAAATAAAACCAAAAGAGAAAACCAAAATAGAGGAGTGAAGGGGTCAGCGTTAGCGTTTCCCAAAGAAAGACCCGTATGGCGTTTCACAAGGATCATGCTAACGCATTCCCTAAGAGTTCACCAATGGATTTTACTTTAATTTTTGATTACAATAGAGCTAGCTTTTCCATTAAGCACGTCTCAGTTTTGTCCCGATCATCAACAAACCACTCAAGACACTGTCTATTGTAAAATGGATTACTTACAAACCTGAAACTTGGAAGAGGTAAAAAGACACATACAACCTATCCGCTGCGTTTCCTTTTGATAGTCATTCTGATAACAGCGCGCATTATTCAAAAGCTAAAAATGAGCTTCGGCACTAGGCCGTGTGCTTTGTAGGAATCTCTATCCCACGATAATAATTACTGCCTACTAAGTCTCCAAACGCTCCTGATGTGCATAGGCTGAATAAAACAAACATGGCTTACAAGCAGTAAAACAATACAACTCAGAATAAAGTAGCCCAAATAATTGCTCTCGAGAGCACATGTTGCTATTATTGTTCATGCACTGTAAGGCATCGCAACTATTAAAGTCATCCAAGCATATATGATTTTTATAAAGCTTATCACTCAGATCTCGTTACGCACTGGGAAAATAGCTGACGTCAAGCTACATTGGCACCACTGTGTGACCTGTTTTTCATATTTTTTTCAAAGGATTTTGTGGCTGCGTGATTCTGGCCTGGTGGCAAAATGGTGGAAAGATTCGTCAGGCCACTGGCAAGGCTGCGGTCAGACCATCAGCGACGGAAACATCTCCTTCTCGGATTTCAAGGACCTGCTCCTGTTCTGGATTGTCATGCTATCCGTGTCAACTTGCATTTTCGCCATCGAGGTCTTAAGCAACCTGAGCTATCAGATCCGTCCGGCCATTTGCAACAGCGATGTCGGTTTCACAAATGCGCAGGCGGATTATTAGTTTCTTTAATGCAGTACCACATTCTCGATGCAATTTTCCTAATTGCTTTCTAGACAAGCACGGTGTCGGCATTAAGTGCGAACTTTGAATAGTGCAAGAGCGGAAGTCAAAAGAATTTAAACAAAGCAAGATGCACTGTTGGCATGCGCTTCTTGGGAGAACCAGAATCATTGGGCATCCACTGCTTTACGCTGCACCTTTAGCGTGATGTAAGGAAAGAAACAATAAATTCAGTGATCAGGCGTTTGCGCTGTCCAGGTCATATTGAACGCTTCATAGCCTCAAAGTATGCTTTGAGTAGGCAAGGACCCCCGAGGTAACTCTGCGCCTTTCACATAGTTTTCCAAGCGGGGAAAAGTCGAATGTTTTATTAACAGGCTTCATTCCACGTGAAAAGATTGAGATCGTAAATTCTACCTTTCAAGAATGTTGTCACTAAAAGCTGAAACATATCTATGGTACCAGATATAGGCCCTAGATGTAGCTGCTGTCGAAAATGTAAGTTACATTTTTTGCTATTTTCACAAGTTATAACTATCGTTTTTTTTCTTTTCTAAGGTAATATTTATGTACATTTAATCAAGGATTTAGCATTTATCCAATTTACGTCTACTAAACTTTCGAATTTCCACAATTCGAAGTTTATAGAGTTTATTTTGCTATATATAAAATTCGGCAAACTTTTTGATAAATGTTGTGGCAGCGAGAGTCTGCCACTACGCCCACAGGCCGCTGCCGACCGCCCAAAGTGGACAACGTCCAAGGCGCACAACAGCGCACGAAGAATAGGCGAGAGAGCCAATAAAAGAGGGGACACGCCCCCAGAAGGGATGAGACGGACCGAGGTCACGGAGGCGTGCAGATCGAACGCTGCGGCCGTGTTATTCTTCAACACTAACAGCCCTTCGCTGTTACTTTAAAGGGGTAGAGAAACGAAATTCAAACGGTCATGTTATAGCTTTAATGTGTTGCATGTTGCAGCATAATCTCAAATACACAAGGCATGCGTTGAAAGGCACAAGCAAACTAATTTTAAAGCTAATTAAACGATATTTCAATGTGCACCTGGTGCATGCATGCGGAGCTTATTTGGGAGGTAATCTAGCAACATTGGCGAACTTGCTATGTAGTCATGACGTAGCGAGCTCCATCGGAGCAGCGCCGCTCTTGGGAATTTTAACATTTTCCATCTTAGCTTTCCGCCTCAACTCACAAATCACGCATTGAACCAAAAAGTTTAAGAAGACGGAAAGGAGGGACTCCCCTCTTTCTCGGACTCTCGTTTGTGCACCCGGATACAGCCATTTTCCCCCTACACTGTTAGCAAGTCCCGTGTATTTGGCGAATATTTGGGGTGAAAAACACGCTATTTACACAAATTACCATAAATTTACACGATGAGTAACGGATAATTCGTTCAGAAATCATGCGAGGTTGTAAAAAAACGTGTTTTGGTTCGTTCATACACGCATAACCGTGTAGCCGACCTCGATAACACGCATCGCCCCCGGCAACGACCGCGGCATTGCCGGCTATCGAAGCACCGGAATGCTTGGGGACACACTTAGAAAGGACCGTCGAGACAAATGCCGCGGAAAAAAACATGTCTCGGAGGCAGATATGCACCAAAAGCAATTGCGCCATGTCGCAGGACGTCGGCGAAACCCGCGCTTACCGTGCTCGCCGCCATTTTCTGGTCGATGGCAATGCGGCTTCCCTCATGTCGCCCATGTTTGTATTTAGTTTAGGGGTCTTGATAACAGTTTCTTACACACCACAAATAAAGTCATGGGTCTAGTTATTCGTTCCAAACAGTTAAAATGGATATAAAAAGCGTGTCCTCGATGTGAACACGTGACATTGCAGTTGGTTTCGTTTTTGCTTCAACCTTCAACTGCAAGCGATCTGGCCACAGCGCAAGCGCAACGCCGATGTACGCTGGAAGCAAGAGCCGGTTGGCTTTCGTTGTTTTTGTTTGACCGGAGAAAATCTGGCAAGTACGCATGGCGCCGCTACTGTTTTGGTTTTACGGGACGCGAGAAGCTTCGCATAGAGCTTCGGAGTTTGCGAGCACATAGTGAAGACGTGACCGGAGAAGTGCCCCTGTGATGTTCCCGGATGACGGAAAGTACCATTCGTAATCGTCGTGTGTGTTTTGAAAGCGAAGGGAGTCACAGGGTCCACGAGTTCGCAACCACAAGCCAAGGTTCACGACAGCGCGGCGTTGACTTCGGCGATCTCATTCTGTTTGGTGCAACCCGGCGATGCGAAAAAGAGCTGAAACGTTCGTCGTGTGTGGTGCGGTGCTTTGTATTCCGGGTCCGTTTGAACCACGCTTTTAACATGGTGCGCAAATTGTTGCGGGGTGGAGATTCAACGGGTATAGTCCCGTCGTCGGCAGCTGATCCGGTCCAGCTGGTCCGGGAGGACGCAGCGAGCGTTTTTAAAAGTAAATCTTCCTTCGTTCGTTTCAAACTGTGTACGTATCCCGACACTTACCGTGAGTAAGAAGCAGCGGGCGTTTTCAACAAAATTACGTCGTTTTAATTGAATAATGGACTCCGGATTGTTGTCTTAAATCTGCCGTTTTTTATGCTTCGTGTTGGACTGCGTTTGCACAGCGACGCACACCGCTCGAGTAGATGATTCAGTCCTGCAACGAGTTTGTTGCGTCAATCATGCGGCGTGAATAAATTAGGGCAAGGTTTCCTACCTGCCCACAGGTGCATGCACTGAGACCATTTTTTACGTTGTGAACGTAGCGCTCTTTCTTTATTTTTGAAGGGGCGTTGGTGCATTTATTATAGCACAATCACTTGAGAGTTGAGAAATTGGAGAGCGAGCAAGCTTTCCCAACTTCGTCTCTTTTTCTCTGGCTCTGCCCTGTTTCAGTTTCAGTAGGCATATCTACTAGCAGGTACAAACTGCTCTAAAGCAGGTAAAAAACGGGAAGCTTAGGACGGTGCGGACTCCGTGTTTCGCGCTTTTCGCAAGGTGACAGGTTGAATGCTTTTGTGAGATATGCGGAATATGCAAGCGATTTTGTTATGCCCGTCGTTTGCGTCTCGCCAGCAAAACGAATAAGATGATCTACTACAAAGGCGCAATCACAAGCCAAGATTTAAGATAGCAGTGCGTTTGCTTCGGTGATCTATGTAGCTGTATTTTACCCTGCTCTCTGCAACACCGTGTCATGACGAAGAGCTGGAACGGTCACGGTTTGTGCTGGCCTCCTGGTTGACAGAAACCCGCGTCGCCGGCATCGGCACCGAGTGCGCTTGGGCTGATGATGCTCAAGCCTTTCATCCGCGGCTTGTCGCCAGCTCATCCAGCTGCTCAACGGTGAGGAAGCGGCGAGAGTAACCTCGGAAGTGAATGTAAATTCTCGTTCATTCAGTTATCCGGTGTCAAAGTGTGGAAGATGTCCAACGTGTACTGAAGGCGGGAACTACGAGCGTTTTGCCTTGCTTTTATAACCGAAACCAGACCAACGAGATAACTGCCTTGCGTACTCTAAAATGACGGAAGCAATAAGTTTCAACAGGTCGAGTACGTCACCGGGGGTGTAGGCGAGACGGTGCACACTGTTTAAACGCTTGCAGTATCCACGAGTGGTACCAGGAAAGCGACGTCAACAGAGAAGGAGCTCGCGATTCAGCATAATGCACTGCTACGGGCCCGTGTATGTTCAAATTTCGGGGTGGTGGCAGCATAAAAAAAAAGACGCATCAGCGCCCCACACCAGTGTTCACGAATAACACCGGTCACAAACTCCCAAGCCTTACCGCTCCACTCGACACCGACACGACATATACAACAACAAACTGCATCAAAACGCCCCAAAAGTGAAGGCGTCTGCTCCCGTACACTCTCAACAAAAGGGTTGTCGTAGGGTACTACACTTGGGGTAGTCAGAAGCCGTCACAGATATCGCTACCCCTTCTTTGTTATACTAACAACCCCATGGGCAGTCACACGGCACGCAATCAGCAGGTAATCACAGTGAGCACCCCCAAAAGCAACATGGCGGCTGGCAAGCGACAGTGGAGCAATACGAGTACGGCCTAGCGAGCTGGACTGCTTTTTGCTAAAATACGATTCTCAAGTGCGTACGCCCGTTCGCTGCCTTCCGTGCGCACAAAGCACCCCGAAACGCGCCTCGAAGCACCGGCACCGCACCTAATACGAGTAGGGGCGACGATGTGAGGAGGGGGGAGGGAGGGGGGGGGGGGGGCGGGCGCATTTGAGGGGGTTTGTCCGCGATTGCTTTCGCGAGGCCGGCTGCATTTACTTCGCGGCCAGAAAACATTCAAAGAAGGAAACAAACTAGCGACAAATGGAATGATGTCTTTATTGAACAGAGCATCTGCTTGCTGTGCTTGCCGCAAGTGATCCGGCGTTTTCGGTTGACAGCGGCGAGGCGAGGCATCACCGATTTAAGCGGCGTCGGTTCCGATCGTTCAACGTTCCTGCTCACCTGTTAGCATTCGTTATCCACTTTCAAGTCCCTGGTAATCCTCACCGCGTCTGTGCACGCACTTGGCGCTATTCACCGCACGGAACACCCATTCAACTGGCTATGGGACTGATCCCATTTGGACGAGAGGCCGAGAACCGAAGCAGAAACCCTTTGTGGCTGCTACGTGGAGCCATGGAACGCCTCCATGTTTTTCACTCAAATAAGTAGACACATAAACACGCGACTCCTTGAATTGGGCGGCGACACGCGCCACCTAACGGACAGCGCTCAAACTAAAGAAAAAAAGAAACTAGCAATTCTTGCTCTGAGCGCCTCGCCAGACAATGCCGTATGTACAGTGCTAATCACACTTGTCTACAACGCGCGAGCGTGCGGCTTTCTCCGGGGAGCGCTAGACTGGTGGCATTCGCGAAAACTAAGCTAGTCACGTGGCGCAACATGGAACGGCCCGCTCGAGGGGTGTCCTGCCCACTCTCTCAGCTGGCGG